GCCCCCCAAAATGGATCATTTTCTAAGGTTTTAAAAGTTTTTAAAATTAAACTTAATTTTATTTCCTTTTATGACATTATAAGAAAAAAGATGAATGCTTTCCAATTCATAGTCACAAAGCTGACAAAACCTTCCCACTCATGGAGTCCTATCAGTCAGTGACTGTGGGGCAGACAAAACAACTCATCTTAGCTGGTTTCTCCATAACAGTCATGCCTACTCACATGGCTTAGCTATATGTTATATACATATGTGTATGTGTATGTATATATACATATATTTGTATGTACACATATATTTAACTCATATGATAGTCTTGTTACTTAAAATAGTAAAATGAAACAGTATGAAAAATTACCAAGGCTATAAACAGTCTAAATGAGAATCCAGCTAAAGCAGCAATGAATTTTGTTTCCAAGTTAAAAGCTACTTACTACATGTTCCAAAATCTCCCTAATCAACAAGATCTGTGATCCCATACTAAGACCAATACTTGATGTGAACCAAGTTTACCAGTGACTTCTTCATGAAAGAGCTTCCCAGGCGGTGTAGTGGTAAAGAATCTGCCTGCAATGTAGGAAACATGTGAGGCTAGAGATGTGGGTTCAGTCCCTGAGTCAGGAAGATCCCCTGGAGGAGGAAATGGCAACCCACTCCAGTATTCTTGCCTGGACAATTCCATGGACAGAGGAACTTGATGGGCTACAGTCCAGGGGGTCACAAAGAGTTGACTTCTACTGAGTGACTGAGCATGCAAGCCTCTTCATAAAAGAAGAGGCAAAATGATATGAAGAGCTGTCAGATTACATGAGACTTCTTTCTTAAAAGCACTCTTTCTTTTGCATCACTTCATTTAAAAAAAGTATCATTCCATACCTAATAAGCCAGAAATTGCTAATTTTATCCCTACAACTTTAGCATTTCATCACTAATTTTTTCTGTTTTTCAATGTGTATAAAAAAAGCAACAAGGAATTATCTTGCACTTCAATGCTATTTCCCCTCAAGTCCTTCTCCTTTCTACCTTTTCAAATCTTATCCACATCTCAAAGACCCCAAATTTTCCTTTTCAGCTCTTCATTCCCCCTAAGAGCTTAATCATCATGAAAAGCTCCACTGTTTATTTACATTTTCTTTACTGGGGTATAGTTGTTTCATAAAATCTCCACTGTTTAATTGTAACAGTTGGATATGTGAGTTCCTGTATATGGCACTGATCCATTTTTGTTAATCGTGACAATCTGAATAAACCATAAGCTTCTTCAAATTCATATCTTACCATCTTTTTTAAGCTTCTACCACTCTTTTTACCAAAGGCTTACCATACTATTAAGTACATAGTAAGTATTGGTTTATAAATCTACATATTCTTATTCTCAAGTATCTTTCCTTAGATCACAGTAAGAGTACCCACTAAAAGCAGCAATGTCTTTTCACAGTATTGGTGCTCAAAGACAGGATAAACGTCACCCAAACAACTCTCTGAGTTCACTGAGACCAGAAACTCCAAACTTTTCATACTGGTAGCAATAAAAAAAAAAAAATAACATAGTATTTGGCACACAGTAACTACTGAATAAATATGTTGAATTATACTTAAGGCTTTCCCATTATAGTAGAGAAGACCCAGAAACTCATATTATTTCTGAACACCAAGCTATTTGAGGTTTTACTAAATTCAGAGGGCAGAATAAATCTGCCCTTAGACACTGTAGAAATCCCAATCCTCTTCTCCTAATATTCAATCTAATTATAAATGGTTAAGTAATAATAACTAATGATAAAAGATACCAATTGTAATGAAATTTTGTTACTATTAAAGAGTTCCAAGCACCTACTATTCTATTGGAATCCATCCCACTACCTGAATTTTCAGATGACTGAAGTCCAGTAAACTTCTAAAAAGAAAATAAATTTCAAAACAACCTCAAACAAAAGTCCAATATTGTTGGTGAAGAATGTAGACAAAAATAAAGGACAAAATATTCAAAAAAGAATACTGCATTTTAGATAGAATGAAAACAACAGGGGGAAAAACAAATACCATATGGTGAATGATATAGTAATCGAGTCATAATCACTTTCTTATTTCTAACTTCTGTTCCAAGTTAATAAGAGCGCTGTGCTAATTTATATCAAAATACATCATGGCCTAAAATCATACCATTGCCAATAAAAGAAATAGAATTCCTAATGCAACAGTTTGTATTTAATATATTCCTGATAACCTGCCAGAATAGCGAATGTAACGACTGACGAATAGTGATATTTACATTTACAAATCATAAGTATAGACACTAACAGGTTTTTCAGTCACTCCCCCATTCAAAATTACATCACAGACATGTTCAGTCATGTGTGCAACATTATCTTAAAAAGATAAATGCTGGACAACTGCAAGATGTCATAGGTGAAACATGCCCTATAAATATTTTGCTCTTGAAATAACTCTTTCTCCTACAATATAAATGGCCAGCGTTTTGAGATTCAGACGTAATATATACAACTCCATGTGCAAACTTAGGATGATGATATCTTCCTTACAAAAGTAATTAACAATCACATCAAATCATTTATCATTCATGAAGTTTACTTCTGAGAGTGAACTCTTTAATCAATCAGGCCCCAACACCAAATCAAAGCTTACAAAGCATCAAGTCAACATTTCATCTTTAGATATGCCTAGAAGACAGATCCTTTCATTTACTTGGTTGTACATTTTCTATTTCTTTTACATACCGGTTTGCTTGGTGTTGTTTTCCCTGAAAAAGAAAAATCCTCAAGCAAATGAAAACACAGAAAGAGCGAAAGGGAGAGAGACCCACAGACTCCCTGATTTACTTCTTTGTGATTCCAACCAAGATCTATGGTGAGGTTAAAAGTTTCACAATACATCAACCTGGTCTGCAAACATCTACAAAATAAAGATGCAAAGGAGAACTGGGACCATGGGAAGTTTCTTGTCATTTATTCCGCCTAAAATAGAGTGAAGTGACACATGGTAACATAAGAAGTATTTGCCCAAAGATGCCATTTTCACTGACTACCTTCCTCTTAATGTCAGGCTCCCCGCTGAAACAGTAAATACGTTTCTGGTTTCTGTGAAGTATTTGCCCAAAGATGTAGAGTTTTCATTGACTATCTTTCTCTTAATCTCAGGCTCCTGGATGAAACCATAAAAATGTTTCTGTGCTGATGCAAGTTTCCCACATCCCCAATCTTAGAAACCTCAGCAACTGAAAAGCACAATTCTGCCAAAAGGAACTAGCAAAAATTTGTTCATGTTTTCAAATACACCATTATGTTTCAGATGAAAGCACAACCTGCCAAAGATGTCAAATAAAAGGGTAACAAAGAAACAAACAGCATCTTTAGAATTGAATTTCAGTGCATAACCTTGCCATCTGCCAACCAGTTGTGAAGCAATGATCCTAGAGAAGCCCTGAAACATGAACAAGTAAGTTTCCTCCTCGGATGGATCACCTGTATCACTCTCCGCTTCCAGGTTAGGAATTATATTGTCGATGGAGCAGCCTCCGAGAATGACACTTGCTATTGGCAAACCCAACCCTGTTGACAAATGGGCCATTTAAACAGACTTGCATTTGATAATATTCGCGGAGTTCAGTTCACAGAGACAATGCGGAGATGGGAAGGAAAAAAAGGGGGGGGGGCTCTATCTTTACATTTGGATTGGAAACTGGACAAAGGAGGTCAATCTCTAGAGGACAGACATCCAAAGCACCCTCAATCTCCTCCCCCTTGGCCTCTAAAACAGGATTACAATTTTGCATCTAGACTACGCCCCACCCCTTCCCTTCCCACCGTGGCTACCACCTTAGAAGTTACCGCGGTAGCTCTCGGGTGACTAGGGGTGCGGATTCTCTGATGCAAAACAGCACCGGGCGCCAATTCAGTAGCGGGTAACTACAGGGCTGGGACAGCCACCAGCTCCTCGGAGAAGCCACCTTCGGGCTCGCTGGAGACCCCACCGCCCCATCCCTGCCTTCGCCCCCGCCTGCAGCTGCAGCGGGAGTTACGCATCCTCAGCCTTGACGCTGTCTGCGCTTCTTCCTATCCGGATCAAGGCTGCTGAGGATGGAGGGGCAGAAGTAGAATGGGGGTTCGGGGGTGCGAGAAAGAACCAAAACAGTCCGGGCCCCCAAAAGCTAGAACTCAAGAGGCCAGAAGCTGGTGCACGCACATCACACACACACACACGCACACATATACACACACACACACATCCCGAAGCGCTCCGTGCCCCCAGCTTCTATGCCAACTGGCGATAGGACGGGAAGAAGAAAGAAGGTGGGGTAGCGGGCAGGCCCGGAGTTACTAAGGAGTGCAGCGGTTGCCTCCAGAACTGCCAAAGTGAGGAAGTCCCAGACCCTTCTACATCCCCACGTCTGAGATCTCCTGCAAGCAACCCCGGATTGCTTTCCTTCCAGCAGGGTTCGGGGCTCGGGAAGCCGGGAGCAGAACTGGAGTTGAGCTTCTCCCAAGCTGCCCTCCCGGGTCTGGCTCGGGGCCGAAACCCGCCCCATCAGCCTTGGTCCAGGAAGGCTGCCAGGCAAGGAGCGACCAGCCTGGGAAAGTAAGAGGGCAGGAGAGAAGCATCCTGCACTCTCAGGCCGGTGGCTGGTCTCGTCCTCTGTCGACACACCCCCAGTTAATCCCCTACTCACACACACACACACACACACACACACACACACACACACTTAGATACGGAGACTCGCATGTTCACCCCTCCCACCAGCCCAGGTGCATCGATTAAAAAACACTAGTTGATTTCTTCCTGATTAAAAACAAGAAAGTGCAACAACTTCTCGGGAGCCGCAGGAGCAGAGCAAGTCCATCTGCAGGCGTCCTCTTTCTATAGTTTCCTAGGAGTTAAGAAATCTGGCGGTCCCCAGTGAAAACGGACCCCGAGTGGGTGAAAGACAACGAACTCCTTCCCAGCCCTCCACCACCGCCCCAGCTCCCGCCACCTCTCACCTCCTTAAGTTCCTTGGCCACGTCCTTCAGGTCGCCCAGGACTAATTCCAGATCCTCCACGATGATCTTGATCTGTTCCTTCACCTTGGTTTTGGAGGCTGCCGGCGGTCCCTCGGCTGGAGAGGACGAGGAGGGGGTCCCCTTGGACTTGGCTGACATTCTTTGGGGGCAAGCGAGGCAGGTCAGCACAGGCGGGCCAGCGGAGGCTGCTGCGCGCCCCGGTCCCCCCACATCCTGGACGCTCCCCGGGCAGCGGCGGGTGGTGGCTGCGCTCGGCGCTTGGCCGGGCGGCCGCACCGTGGTGGTGCTGCCATCGGCTCCCCAAGACACGGCGCTCGGCGCCGGGCTGCAGACGGGCGAACAGCGCGCCTGCGCCTCCGCCCGCCGCTCTCGCGCACACACGCGCTCGCTGTTCCCCGCCCGCGCGCCGAGAGGGGCGCCCGGCCGCCGGCCCGGCTGTCAGCTGCAGTCCCCGGGCACGTGCCTCCTCCGGGAGCTCTCCAGAACACCTGGGCGTCTGGGAGCGGGGTCCTGCCCACCCTCTCGTCTAGATCCTGAAATGCCCTCCCTCGTCATTTGATCATGCTGGATGTCTTTTCACATCCAGCTTGGATTCCTTCTGTTTCCCCCACCAGCAGGGACCAGGATCCCCACCACACTTTTTCTGAAAAATTAATCAAGAACCACAGGAGGGTCAGAAGTTGGATTTAGGGTTAGTAAAAGCGAACCTAAATGTTTATCCAGGGCGAGAGTATGTCCAGAAGGCCTCCAGTCACTCTCCTACTCAGCGAAGAGTTAACACAGACGTACAGGTTTAAAAAATAAAAGGAGAGATGTCGATAAAATTGACCCCTCACCCCCTGGAATCATGATATTTAAAAAGTGTTCTTGAAAGAGGTAGCTTAATCCTGCTGATTCCACAAAGCTAATAGAGGATTTATTAATTGCAAGTCCTCTCACCAAAAAAATCCCCTGGGAGACTGTCTGAGTCATCTTGGCTCTACTTATCTGGGACAGTTTTTTTTTTTTTTTTAAACTGTCCTTCCTCTTTTCATGACCTATGTTGATGTATGTTTTGGGTGGAGGGGGAAATACACTGGGTCTCCTGTTGTGAGAGAGAATAGAAGAGTTTGCCTCCAACTTTTTTCTTTTTTGTTTTTGCATCTATTTCAAATCTTTTGCAACTAAATAAAGAGGAAATAACTTTTTGACTGCTCTGTTAAAAGGATCTAGGGAAGGGAGTTAATAGGAAGCCTTGGGTTTCATTCTCAGTAGGTGGCTAGGATTCTCATTAGTTAAAGTTCTAATTTCCTGAGTGGCAGACTCACGGGTTATTAGCTATTGACGTAGAGGGCTGGATTTACTTTGCTTTCTTCAGTGTACTCTACTCCAAATTATTATTTTAATAGGCTTCCCATTTGGTCATGCCTTAGCAGGCATCTCTCTGTCTTGCTTCTCATACCCCAGGTTGTTCCAACATGCTTCCATACAGGAAGAAAATCTTGGCAGCTCCCCTCTTCCTAGTCCCTTAGGCCCCTCATATTCAGTCTCCTCATTCTGAATAATTCATCTTGATAAATCCTTGTAAGTCATATTTGCAATATGGAAGAAAAAAATGAGACAACAGAAGAAAAATAGGAATTTAGAGGTGGTGTCAAGAAAATAAAAAAATTTTAAATTTAAAAATTTAAAACTCACTGAAAAATCAGAGGGAAAAGAAGAAAGGTAGAAAGCAGAGGCTGCTGGAAGAAAATTAAAATAAGGAAAGAATAAAGAAACCAGTGTGCTCTAAGTAAACTGGAGAGAAGAGGGAAGAAATAATTAGAAGTGTTAAATAAGTAACATGCTTGAGTTCTCTAAGGTAAAGAGAATATATAGTTTTAAATGACCATGTGTCTGCAGGTTCTTCTTTATATTATAAAGATGTAACAGTAATAAGTATATACAACAGGTTTACAAACTCCTCCATTGTAAATTCCTAATCTTTAATTATACTCTTACTTAATATCGGAAGAAGGATAAGTGGTCAGAAATGGCAGGAAAGAAGATGAGAAAGAGGGAAGGTGCTACTCCTTTATATCCTTTACTCCTTTATATTTTTGACTCTTAATAGTAGATAAGTGAATAGAAAAGCCCTCAAAACTCAGAAATAACGAAGTTAGGCAAGAATACTGGAAAATAGCAAAGAAAGTGGCATTTTGGTGGTTTTTGCCCACAGACAAAGTAAGTCTCATTAATATAAGAATATTTTCATGCTATGCTAAATCTCCTTCACTAACAATTAAAAAATTTATTTTCTCCTATAATATCTATGAAGTCAATCCTGAATATTCACTGGAAGGACTGTTACTTCATGAAGCTGAAGCTCCAATACTTTGACCACCTGATGCCAAGAGCCTACCCATTGGAAATGACCTTGATGCTGGGAAAGGTTGAAGGCAGGAGGACAAGGGGACAACAGAGGATGAGATGGTTGGAGGGCATCACTAGCTCAATGGACATGAGTTTGAGCAAACCCCAGGAGAAAGTGAAGGACAAGGAAGCCTGGTGTGCTGTAGTCCATGGGGTCGCAAAGAGTTGGACACCAATTAGCGACTGAATAACAGTAGATTAGTGAGTCCAACTATTTTGGATCAAAATTGAATCATAATTATTACTCTAAAACATGCTATGCACATCCATATCACAAACTGCTTTTAAGTAAAGGCTATCCTCCACCAGCATATCTATCATCTATTAATCTGTACATATGACACGGAGTTAACTGAAAGGAGAAAAGTTAAAATTGGCTTCCAAATCCAAACTATAACAGCTAGTCAGCCCCCAGCACTGATGACTACCACCATCTATCAGTCATTAATCAGATATGCATAAAACATTCCTAAAGAAGAAAGTTTTACAAAGCGAGTTAAAGATATTGAGGGGAAGGAGACAGAATGAGAAGAACAAAAGGATATAATCAAGTCTACTCACTTTCTATTTTTTCTAATCACCCTTGGGAAAAATAGGTTCCTTTGTGGCTCAGCTGGTAAAGAACCCGCCTGCAATGCAGGAGACCTGGGTCCGATCCCTAGGTTGGGAAGATCCTCTGGAGAAGGGAAAGGCTACCCACTCCAGTATTCTGGCTTGGGGAATTGCATGGACTGTATAGTCCATGTGGTCTCAAAGAGTCAGACACATCCCTTTGGTGCATCCTGTTCTTTCTCAGAGATTTGTATATATGATATTTTAAAGCCAAGTTATGGTGATCACACAGCAAAAATGACACCTAATAAAATTTCTTATGAATGTGTTCATAAGTATGTTTATGTACTAGTGGTAGAGGCAAATAAGTGCATATGCAAACCATATCACTTATAAACTTAGAATAACAGACTGCTAATAGAAAAGTGTCTTGTTCTTTTAGAAATGACTGTGCAGCCAGCATTTTATTCTTTCTGTCTCTTTAGTCAATATTTTCTGAGTGTTGCAGCAGGAAGGATTGGATAATTATAGGAGATCATCTAATGGTGGTCTGTTCAGTTCCAGGCACTTATCAATATTCTCCTGTGTTGTGTGTTTAATCTACTGAATTCAAGCTGTAATAATTAACCTACATGAGGAACGCTACAACACTACCATACTTTTTAACTCATGCAGAACTCAAAAATATTCCCAAAATATTTTGTTGGCAGCAGCTTTTATTACTATACTATCATAATAATGTGCATTGCATCTTTAAAAAGAGGATAATATGCATGATAATGGCGACATTTAGTTTTCTTTTTTTTTCTTTTGTATAAACTTTGTAAAATCCAGTGAAGTCATTCGAGAGTTTTGAAAACATTAAGAAAAAAGAAAAAAAAATGGGGGAGTGACAACTTTGTTCCCATCAAAATAGTTTTCACTGGGTGAAAAATAATGGAGAACAACATGGATATCTAAGAGAGAAAACGCTGCTCGTGAAATGCAACAGAGAAAAATGAGTTAAGTTCTCCACGTGCACACTAAGAAAAATAATATGCCTAGGCAGCGATTCTCACAGTCACTAGAGCTTCTTAACGGATCAGTTCAGTTCAGTTCAGTTCAGTCACTCAGTTGTGTCTGACTCTGCAACCCCATGGACTGAAGCATGCCAACTCTCATATCCACACATGACTACTGGAAAAATATACATTGGAGCTTGTTAAAGGATCCCACTACCAGGGTGTCTGATCCAGTAGGTCTGGGGCAAGGGTCTGAAATTTGTGTTCTGCTAAGTTTCTAGGCCAATGGAAAGGGTCAAACTCTGAAAACCATTAGCTAGAAAGATTGAAAGAAAACTTTAGGCTTCCTTTTAGCCAAAATAACCTTAAAGATCATCCAGTTACAAATCTTCATTTGATAGATGGGGAAACAGTCTGGGGAGGCTAAATGGTACCTCCTGTACATCACATCTAGGGAATATAAATTGGAAGCTAGAACCTCATACTGCCTCAGACATCTTGTGGTTTTGTCTCCATTTGCCTGGAAGGTCTCCTTTTTAATGTATCCATTGCTTTTGGCATGATGGCTGTCTATTATAGAAGCATATTGGTGAAAAACAAATGTGATCTGGAAGTTAAAATACAAATACCCATTGTAGTATCCTGAGTAATGAGAGCTGTGTCTATTCCAATGTAGCTGATTAATAAATACTTGATAAGGAGGTGAATGAATGAAGTGTTGTCTATCTCGTGTGTTTTGAAACTAATTTGACAAATATTTAGCAAATGGTTAGTTTAGGCAAGAAACTATGCTATGGAGTAGATGTGCCATTAGGATTAGCAAGACACAGTCCCAGCAAGAACAATTAGATAATCCCACACTTGACTCTAATATAAAATGACTTTACCTCAGAGTATCTCTTTTTTGGCCTTTCTCAACTATAGTCAGTTTACTTTACTTACCTACAAAGTTAATGAACATTTAACATTGTTTTCCTTACTTTTTATTCATGAGACAGAAACTGAACTTTTGCTTAACTGAACAAAGGGAATTGTCTCATAGCTTAACCATAGAAAGGCAAGAAGAGAAATATTTTCCAGTAGAACTGGAGTCAGAAATGGAGCCAGAGTCCATTGGGACTACTTATTTCTGCCTTGTATCCCATCCCCTTTTAATGGATTGGCTTCAGTTTCTCCCTAAAGTTGAACTTTGGTCAATGGTAAATCCATATTCATGTCTTTATAACTCTGCAAGTAGGAAAAAAA